GCAAGCCTGGGGCACCTCACGCCACCAGCACATACCCATTAGTCTGGGACCCCTCTAGAGCTAATGCTTGTCCAGGGGACTTATTCACAGGGACTTGGCAAACATCACTTCTTGGTTCTGGGCTTCCTGGGGTGTCTTAAAGGCTTTTCTGGACAAGGACATGGAGTTGCGGTGATCTCGCTTTATCGCATCCTGAAAAGACAAGAGTTGGTGCTTTCACTGTAGTCACAGTCAAGCAGCCTTTGGGAATGCACTGGCTGAGTGTCGTGACTGCTTCATTACCAGCCACCGGGAGCAGGAGAGGCATGGAGTGGAGAGAGGGGAGGCAATCCTGTACTTGGTGGAAGTCACAGAGTCCCCTGNTCTAGAGCTCCCAGCATTAAAGGTAAGCTCTAGTGTGTACGTAAATTTTCATTGTTTACTGTACATTTCACTTCCTTTTTGTTGTTTTCATCTACATTTCATGTCCTTTTTGTTTTAAAGTGTTTATTTATAGATTAATCAGTACATTAGATGTGTACTGTATATAAGAAAAGTTAAAACAGGGCAGCATTTGGGGGTCTGGAACAGATTAATTCAATTTACATTATTTCTAATGGGAAAAAATGATTAGGTTTTTGAACAAATTGCTTTTCAAACAGCGTTCCTGAATGAATTAAGTTTAAAAAATACGAGGTTCCACTGTATTATAACCGTCGACCCCAGTTTCCCTCATCAAAACACTAGGCACCATCCCTCAGGGCCTCCTTTCTCTTCCCCCACCTGCCTTCCTTAGTCACTAAGTCACCAAGTTCCAAGAAGAAGGAATAATTCTTCTAAGCATTTCTCCAGTTCTCCTTTAACACATTCACCCCTCGGCTACCAGGGTGATTACTTGGAAATGCAGAGCTCACGGAGCTCCTCACCCTCCGGGTGAAGTCCAAGCTCTATCATGTGATACACTGAGCGCCCCTTCTGCCCTTTCGCAGCCTGAATCTGCTGTTGAAATAATGTCGGGTGTCAGTGAGATGACTGCCCTTCCCCAGGGTAAGCCCCACCTTCTATCTCCGAATACTAGCGGCAAGCCTGGGGCACTCGCGCCACCAGCGCATACCCGTTAGTCTGGGACCCCTCTAGAGCTAATGCTTGTCCAGGGGACTTATTCACAGGGACTTGGCAAACATCACTTCTTGGTTCTGGGCTTCCTGGGGTGTCTTAAAGGCTTTTCTAGACAAGGACATGGAGTTGCGGTGATCTCGCTTTATCGCATCCTGAAAAGACAAGAGTTGGTGCTTTCACTGTAGTCACAGTCAAGCAGCCTTTGGGAATGCACTGGCTGAGTGTCGTGACTGCTTCATTACCAGCCACCGGGAGCAGGAGAGGCATGGAGTGGAGAGAGGGGAGGCAATCCTGTACTTGGTGGAAGTCACAGAGTCCCCTGAAGGTGTGGGTCCCCATCATCAGTCATTCTTGAGCCTGTCTGGGGGTCTGTTCAAGGGGTGAGATGGGGAGCCATGGCCTTTATTTCCTTCCTAAAAGCTGGTTTTCTACTTTGGTTACCGTTTATCTGGCCATCTGTGGGAGTCATAATAAGTTTTCCCCCTCCTTCCTCTCTCATCCTTCTTGTCTGCCGTNAAACAGGGCAGCATTTGGGGGTCTGGAACAGATTAATTCAATTTACATTATTTCTAATGGGAAAAAATGATTAGGTTTTTGAACAAATTGCTTTTCAAACAGCGTTCCTGAATGAATTAAGTTTAAAAAATACGAGGTTCCACTGTATTATAACCGTCGACCCCAGTTTCCCTCATCAAAACACTAGGCACCATCCCTCAGGGCCTCCTTTCTCTTCCCCCACCTGCCTTCCTTAGTCACTAAGTCACCAAGTTCCAAGAAGAAGGAATAATTCTTCTAAGCATTTCTCCAGTTCTCCTTTAACACATTCACCCCTCGGCTACCAGGGTGATTACTTGGAAATGCAGAGCTCACGGAGCTCCTCACCCTCCGGGTGAAGTCCAAGCTCTATCATGTGATACACTGAGCGCCCCTTCTGCCCTTTCGCAGCCTGAATCTGCTGTTGAAATAATGTCGGGTGTCAGTGAGATGACTGCCCTTCCCCAGGGTAAGCCCCACCTTCTATCTCCGAATACTAGCAGCAAGCCTGGGGCACTCGCGCCACCAGCACATACCCGTTAGTCTGGGACCCCTCTAGAGCTAATGCTTGTCCAGGGGACTTATTCACAGGGACTTGGCAAACATCACTTCTTGGTTCTGGGCTTCCTGGGGTGTCTTAAAGGCTTTTCTAGACAAGGACATGGAGTTGCGGTGATCTCGCTTTATCGCATCCTGAAAAGACAAGAGTTGGTGCTTTCACTGTAGTCACAGTCAAGCAGCCTTTGGGAATGCACTGGCTGAGTGTTATGATTGCTTTATTACCAGCCACCGGGAGCCGCGAGAGGCATGGAGTGGAGAGAGGGGAGGCAATATCTGTACTTGGCGGACGTCACAGACTCCCCGAAAGGTGTGGGTCCCCATCATCAGTCATTCTTGAGCCTGTCTGGGGGTCTGTTCAAGGGTGAGATGGGGAGCCATGGCCTTTATTTCCTTCTTAAAAGCTGGTTTTCTGTTTCATCTGGTTACTGTTTATCTGGCCATCTGTGGGAGTCATAACAAGTTTCCCCCCTCCTTCCTCTCTCATCCTTCCTGTCTGCTGTCATTTTCNCCATTTTTCCTTCCTCAATTGCTGTCTCAATCTTTTTCTCTCATTTTTCTTTCCATTTCCTCTCCCATTTCCTTCCCTCACTTCCATTCCCACCTTCCCTTTGTTCCTTCAACATCTAACATGGAGGATTTTGAGCTAGTAACCATGGAAAGACAAACATCAGATATCTTGTCATAAAGAATCTCATATGTCCAGAGGCAGGCAGGTGACCCAAAGGGAAATGAAGGGTAAGAAGGACAGGACCCAAAAGCAAAGCAGCCCTGCAGGTCTCACTGGGCCCCGCCAGGCCCCGACCTCTTCCACTCCATATCTCGAAGCTTCGATCGCTGGATTTTCCCTGAGACGGTTTTGGGCAGGTCCAAGACAAACTCCATCTGTTGGGACAAATCAGTCCAGGGTTGGCCAACCATGACTCCAACAGGGGTGAATGTTTTAGAGGACTCGCTCTAGGGTGAGGGGAAGCTCCTGAGGCTGGAGGCTCCAGGTGAGTGGCTACCGAGTCTGGAAAACTCCTAGGACACCCCCCTGTGCAATACGAAGGTTCAGAAAGTGCCCTGGGCCAAGAAAAAGATGAAAATGACTAGAATAGGACATCAGCGTCAGTCAGCTGGGGTCTGACATACTGTAGGACAGGGAGACGCATTGCAGGGAACTGACATGACACAGTAGTCACACTCCTGGGCTTTGACATCAGACTCTGCTCTCGTCTCTCCTCTACCATTTACCTGGCTTTGAACAGGTCACTAGGCTTCTCTGAGACTCAATTCTCCCCCTGAGTAAACTGGAAAATAACAACTTTGATGAGTTATTGAGGACAAAATGCAGGCTAAGTTCTTGGCACAGGCCCACACTGCAACCTGTTGGCTGTGGGTGTGAATCTGGACTGGAGACAGCAGGCGTCTCGGTCAGGAAGCCTGCTGTTCGGTTTCATCTCCATCACTTCCCGTTGGTGTGTCCTCAGCAGAACTAAAAATCTCCAGCTTCACCCTTCTCGCCTGCGGGAAGGAATGTTTGGTGTCGAGGACCCTTCCGCCTCTAATGTCCCTGAATCTGAAGGTGTGGGTGAGGCAGAGAATCCACTGAGCTTCTGCTCACACGGCTCCGCTTGCCAGAGCGTTGGTCTAGAATCAGATGGTTTGGGGTTCAAGAAAAGTGACAACAGTAGGGGTACTGACTGGGAAAAAGTATCTCAGCAGCTGACTTGCCAGGAGGCAAGACTAATTGTGAAGGAAAGAGCTTGTTGAAAGCACCGTGGGATAGAGCAGGGGTTTGGCAAACTATAGCCTGCAGGCAAAATCCAGCTCTTCTCCTCTTTTTGTAGATAAAGTTTTATTGAAACAATAGCCATACCTATTTAGTTGGCTGCTTTCTCACTCCAAGGGCAGAGCTGAGTAATTGCCACAAAGGGTACGGCCTAAAAAATGTACTATTTAGTCCCAGGGTGTGGAGGGGGAGCGGAGGGAAACCACGGGGAGATCAGGTTGAATGCTGAGAAGAAAGCGACCGCGCAGCAGGCAGGGAGAGAAAGGCGGGGCTGCTGGGGGGAGGCGGGGGAGGGCCTGCTGCCCGGCATTCTAGAGGGGAGGCTTGTGAAAAGCGACACGTCTATTGAATCATGCTAAACTGTTCTACTGTGTGATAGGGCCTCTCCACTGGCTCCTCAGAAACATTCAGCTACAAGTCAAAATTCATAATATGCTCGGTGTGGTTGGATTTCCAGTCTCTTTTTAAGTTACTTATTAAATTCTTACTAAGGTACCTTACAAATATTAACTGTTCTTTTAAACAACCTGTGAAGGAGTAACAGCATAACCCCATTTTACAGATAGTACGAAAACTGAGGTGAATGCAGCAGTCTGTTTCCAGAGACCGCTAGACTGCCTCACTCCCATTCGAGGCTGAAAGTCGGGGTGGTGGACTCTTTGACATGCTGCCCAGATGCCCTGCAGGAATGAAAGGCTCACTCTCCCAATGCTAGGCCCTTTTGGGGGGTGCAGCAGCACAGGAGAGCTGTCTCCCCAGGGCCACGTGCCTTCCCAGGGCAGCCTGTATGCATGCCTGACCTGCCTGGCTGTAAGGGGACCCCCCCCCCCC